CTTAGGATTTCCAGCGCTTTTTGGTTGGATCCACAGCATAAAATAAATGGAGTTCTTCTTATTATCCTAACAAATTGTTTAGATAACTCCTATATTCATGGCTCAAGAAGGTGCAATTTTTTTTGTCAAATGCTTCTAATGATAAAATTGAGTTTAACGTTTTAAAATTTATATATACATCCTTTTAATGGGATAATTCAATAATACGTTTACAAAAACCCGGGCAGTTAGCCTAAGAATTTAGTCATCATTTTTCGTTGTAATAAATATAACCATTATAAGTAATACTTATTGACTATTAATGGTTATCTCAAAAATTTCAAAAATAGTACTTGTAGCGATGAGTAAAACTCTGATATAGTACTGACAGACAGTGAAGATTAATGACCAAATTGTTACAATTAAAAAAATAGTAAATTTTTCTATATTTAAATAAATTAGGGCTAGGCAGAGAGGACAAATAATTTTAATTTTATGGGTCGGGCTTTTAGGGATAGATAAAAATATTTCGATCGAGATCTGGCTGGGTCGAAAAAAAAATTTTTTTTTAATTTTTGGACCGAGCAGGGCTTGAAAAATTTTATCCGATGCAGATCACTAACTCTTGGGTAGGTAAAAATGTATACATATATATGTTTTAATAATTGCATCTTATAGTCAAGGCAAATCACAAAAAAAATTGCTCTCGAGTTTAAAGAATGGTATAATTAAATTAATAAATAATCAAGACTACAATCTTTATCAACTTACAAATCTAGAAAACCAAAAAAAAAATTATAGAGGAGAGAGTTTATAAAATATAATATTCAAAAATGATATACCAGAAATATGGATTTGATTTATAAGGATCTACAATTACATGCTAAGAAAATATATAAAATGTGATATTTTTTTTTTTTTTTCAAATTCACAAAAAATTATTCAATTAGAAAAATATAAACATTTGATTTCATATATATAACTACAAATTTATATCAATTATTTGTAAATATATGCCAATAAAAAAGACAGGTTTTTTTTTTTTTATATTAAACTGTATTTTATTTTTTGATTTTCATTAAAATTACAGAGGATTAAAAAATATATTTTAATAAGTATATTTTATTTTTTGATTATTATTGGCACTATTGTATCCATTAACTATATCCAAAAATAGTAGTTATTATTTCCAGGGTAAAGAAACTCTTAAATATCAAAATTGGACCCCATTTGAAATATATAAAGTTCTTTTTTCTATTGAATCTTTAAAATGAACTATATAATGTTAGGGATCTTCTAATCAGAACCAAAAATGAAGTTTTTGTCCCTCTTGTTTAAGATTACTTAAAATATTCAGTAACATAATGGTATGTAGAGATATGAGTCAATAAGTGCGCTTTGTAAATAGCAAAATAAACCTCTTTTAAATATCGCTATCAGGTTTGACGTGCGTCTTTAAACAAAATGGGGTACCATATAATCGCTTTTCTTTTGTTTTACGTGTCATTTTTTAAAAATTATTTCCTTTCATTTGTATATTCGTCTTCAGGATAATTATTTTGACTTGAACCAATGGAAGGAACTGAATTTTCAATGACTATTTATTCATCATCTTGTCTCAATTTTAACTGCCCCACACTCGATTTTTGGAATAGATTGGCATTTATAGCAACTTGGAAATTATTATATTGAGTTTCCTTATATCAATCGTATTTTAGGAGAGATGAATAGGAATCACTTAAAATATTAATTGTTTGGATTGTAGGAGCCTTCTGCTTAAATATAACGGTTGTGAGCCATGCCGAGACTTTTGACGGTCCAGGGCTAAAAATAATTTGGCTATTCCAAAGACAAAATTTACCTAGGCTTTTTTGATAATTTTTGCTATGAGAACTAATATGAGCATATATATTCTATTAATTTGCAATTTTAATTAAATCCTCGCCTTTTTATATGCAAAAGAGAATATTATGTCAGTATAATATAACAATGAGACGATATCATTTTCTATTAAGTTAAGGAGAGATTAACAAGTAAATCCTGTGCCATACAGAATCGTAGGTAAATTTTAATTAATTTGAGCGAGAAACTGCGTTCTGCGTGCCACGGCAGTTGGAATGGTTAATGTAATTTTTACTACAATGGATGTATTTGATAAGGCTTCATTTAACCTATTAATGTTTTTATAGAGTAAAATTTCCAATAAAGTTTTTATGGGATGTTTGCTTAATATATTCACTAAATATTTAAAATCAATTTAGTAAATCTTGCAGATTAATATCGCTCTCGTATCCTAATCTATAAATAAAATATTTAATTGACAACATTTTTCCTTTTGCTCTCTTGTATAAAATAAATATTTTTTATAAATAAAGATGCAATTTTATAAAACATAAAATAAGAATCCAAAATGATCCTTAAAGAGCTTTAACTAATGGAAACATTCCTCCAACGAATTTCTACATTGATTATTGAAAAAATCAATCATATATTCTTTTTGAGTATTCTGTATAGGCATGTTATCTCTTTCGGAAGCAAATTGTTTTTAACTTTCCATACGAATTAACGTTGTTAAAGGAAAACACTGCTCTTCTAAACTCATTTTCGCGCAAGCTCTTTCGCGGAGTCATGAAAATTTTGAAGGCCGTCTTTTTAAAGCGATATAAAATATATTACGTACTTTCTATAAGTGTAATGACTCTTTCCATTTCAATATTGTCACTTTATGACTTTACTTACTAAATTCATCTAGGTTAATAAATCAAACAAGATAAGAGTTTCCAGAAATGGAAATTGTTTTTATTCTTTAGCCCTTAAAATGGCTTCTTCAATGCACCATTTGGGGTCATTTTTTCAGATACATCTATTAGCATCGCAAATATCACCAGCCTGATTTCTAATGGCCTTTACACTCTACACCGTATACTTCCGTCGCGTTTCAGGTAACAGGTTTAACGTAAAATTATTCTATGATCGTTCAAAATTTGCCATCGTTGAGTCGAAACAAAAAAGAGAATAAATATTCGTTGAACAATGCTAAAAAATGATTTTGTACCTAATAATGATCGTGCCATGTCACCAATTAGCAGATTTAAGCTGTGGCAATTGCAAGCATAAAAAAGCTTATTTGTAATATTCGAGCTTGAACCCCTTTATAATATTCTCTCATATTTGATCTATTATAATAACCTTGTCCATGACAGTTTTATTTATTTCTAATCCCAATTTTTTAGCTAATTGTAAAAATGTTCTACCAAGGTCTGACCAGTACTAGAATCGATTTTTAGAAGGCTAATAAATCACTCATTTATTTTAACTTAGTTGTTGGTAAGTTCTACATATTGTATAACTACGATTAGTTATTTCTGGTGGCTTATGTCTGGTGTGCAATCTAATATTGCGGAAAAATATATTGTGTTTTTAATAACATTAACAATTTTTTTTTCTACTATTTTATTTCTTATAAAGTTAATGATTTCATTTTGAACTGGATTTCCTAGGTAATGATTATGAACTTTCTTATTTTTAATTCGACGAATATAGTCGAATAATATAGATTTCGATAAAAAAATCAAATTTCTTAACTAAAAAATAAATGTTACTAAAATAGAAATCAAATTTTTTGTTATAATACATATGGCTTGACATGCCAAAATTTTCAGAATCAATACATGGATTTGTTACAATTAAAAAAAAGAATAATGTCTTGATTTTATGTAGTATATATAAAAAAATATTTTATTTTTCAAGAGTTAAAAATAATTGAGTAAACGTAAAAAATTTAGCGGCCCTTACCACTTTCGGGCGGCCCCGGGCTGCTTTCCCGCTCGTCCCCCTCGTCTGCACAGTCCTGACGCTAGTACAATCCATTTGGATATTTTTTATTGTATACCATTCTACTTCATTTAAATAAAATATTTTCCATAATTATTAGTATAATTTTATACAAAAAGAGACCCACCGCAAAAACATGAGGTCTGCCGCAAAAGAATTCTTGCCTCCTTATAATTTAAGGCCAATCTATCTGAAAAATCTGGCCTTTCGGAGGTGTGTTACATCTCGGGCTATATATTAGTTTTTTTTAAAAAAATCGAAATAACGTTATGAGGTAAATAAGCTATGAAGAGACATGAAAATAAAACAAATAAAAACCAATCGAGTTATAAAGGTTAGGTTAGCTATTTAAATTTTTTTTTTATAAACTTGGGTTCGATTTTCGAAGCTCAATTAAGCTCTACACTCTCTTCTCTAGGCACATAAAATAAATTTAAAAAATGAAAAAATTTAATTTTATAATATTTGGTTGTTGCATATGATGGTGAACTGATATTTACTCGGAGGGTAACCCAAGCAGATAAATAAATATTCAAAATGAATTTTAATATACTTTGGCGAAAATAAAATATAATATGATGTATTAAAAAAGTTTTTATTTTTTATTGTGAGAAATATGCGAATAAAGAACATTCTCAGAGCCAAGATTTGGTAAAATTTAGAGTTCTCTAGAAACCATTAAAACAAAATCTTAATTAAAATATTTTGTATAATAAATTTCTACTCAATATCACTTTAAGTAACAAAAATTATCTTATTAAAATTAGATATATAATAATGCAATAAATACCTATCCCAAGGAAGCACTGGTTGAAGATGGGTCTGTCTTTTATGGATTGTCATTTAACGTTCTCTATACAAATTTGTTTTTTTAGATACAAAATCTAAATAACGTTATAATTTTTTTTAATCTCACTATAAAATAGGCTAATGGCAATTGAGCAACATCTATGGGATTAGGGAACATAATTTCGTTAAACATATTTTTTGAATATTTTAATTAATTATTTTTTATTATAATAATAATTCATATTTTATTGGCATAATTTTATCGGGTATACACACCATAAAAATAATTAATATTTTTGCTAAAATTTTTTATTATTTTTTTCCAAAAATTTAATATGATACAAAATAATTAATATACATTTTGTTAAAAAAAATATTAAAGTTGATTTTGAATTAATATGCATTCTAATTTAATGCATTTAATTAATATATGCTTGTTCCTGGTTGTACCAATTGTGAAAGCCGAAGATTGTAATAACTGGATTATTGATATAAAAGAATCCAGCACAAATAAATTCAAAAATATTGAAAGCGAGAACGTGCCTGTTTTGTTTAAAAAAAGAGTCAGAAAATCAACTAATCAAAATTACATGACGATTAATCTAAACATAACGGAAGATATTCCACCTAATTCAAATATTTTGAACATCAAAGAGCATATTTTGAAAAATTTTCCATGGTTAAATGATTTTTCTAACTCCTTTGTAAGTCATCAATTTACAATTGTCAATCCCGATGGGCCCAATAGAGATTTCATATTGATATCCGGAACATTGTATACCCTTCATTCTATCGATAGAGAACGCATACCGAATTATAAATTAATTATTAAAATAAAACAGGGTAGAGAACATAATTTACAGACTTTCGATTCAGATCTGTCCCTCACCATTTTGATATCTGTTCTTGATATAAATGATAATTCACCACGTTTCCTAGAAGAATCCATGGTTATAAACGTTCCGGAAAATATTGAATTAAATTTTAACGAATCTCAAAAAATAGCAATAGGCAAAATTGTAGCAATCGACGAAGATCAAAACTCCGAGCTAGCCTATTCTTTTAAAAGTCTAAACAACGACCGCTTTTCTATAGACCCCCATAATGGTACGGTCTTTTTAAACCCTGGTTGGCAATTGGATTTTGAAAATGAGAAAAGCTATTCCATTCTGGTTTGGGTAGAAGATGATGGTAAACCTATTCTGAGTAACACGGCAGAATTAAAGATCAATGTCTTGGATTTGAATGACAACGCACCAAAATTATATGGAAACGCTACTTTTCTTAAGCATAATGTGAGAGAGGATGCGCCATTAGGTACAAAAGTATTGAAGGTCAGAGCATATGATGTAGACAGTGGTATAAACAGCGAATTATCATTTCGTATATCCAGAGTTATAAGTAATGATTCGTATAACGAATCAGTCTTACCTTTTCAAATTGATTTAAACTCTGGTTGGATTACTACTAATGTCATTCTTGACCGTGAAAAAATTGACGAATACAGATTTAAAGTTAAAATTGAGGATAAAGGGTTGCCAGTGCAATCTGTGGCCACTGATGTCATTATTGATATTATTGACATAAATGATAATGCTCCAGTTTGCGAAAAGAGTGTGTACGAAGTTAATGTCTCAGAAAATACGGAGGTAGGAACAATCGTTTTAAGTGACATTAAAGGGGTAGATTCTGACATTGAGGACAACTTCATATATATTTTGTCATCCGAAATCCTGACATATACCGAATTTTATTATGAAGACAATGTAATAAAAAATTTAACTTTAATTGATGATTATAAAATTTTCGATTTGCTTGTAACCGAAAATCGCGCCTCCATCATATTAACTGAACCTCTACATTACATCCTAGACAAATATCCTGGGCAGCTCTCTATAAATCTTACCGTAGTAGTAGAAGATTCTGGCAATAATATTGGATATTGCAATGTCAATATTAAAGTAATCGATGAAAATAATAATGCACCAGCCTTTGAAAGGGTAATCAACTATATTAAAGTAAAAGAAAATTTTCCGACACAATCCAAGATAATAACTCTAAAGGCTACAGACCTTGATAAGGGCGAAAATTCGAAAATCGTCTATTCTATCGAATTAGATGATGTGAAAGAGAATCCCTTTAAAATAGATTCCAAGAATGGGAGGATTTTCCTAGATAAAAATCTTGATCGCGAAATTTTAGCGCATTATAATTTAAAAATAATTGCAAAAGACAATGGCATCCCATCTTTATCCGGAGTAACTCATTTAAAAATACAGGTTGAGGATATTAATGATAATTCTCCTGTCTTCATATCCCCTTCCAACGATCCTCTGAAATATATTTCTAATTATTCGAGAGATGCCACGAATGCACACGAGTTCAATGTAAAGATATTGGAAAATACAGGGCCCGGTGTAAAAATTGGTCAAATTAAAGCCATCGATTTTGATTTTGGTTCTAACGGTGAAATTCAATATTTGTTTCTTAATCACTCGACTTCTAGTTTACAAGAGACCATATATGATAAATTTGAAATAAATAAGCACACAGGCGATATATACACTTACATAAAAGTTCCTAATATGTCGACACACAATACATTTCTAGACAGAGAAAGAGTACTATTTTACAATTTAATAGTTGTAGCTGAAGATAATGCTCCAACACATGAAAGATTAAGAACATCCGCAGAATTTAATGTCATATTGATCGATGTAGACGATAACTCTCCTATTTTCGAGGAAAAACGGGTATATTTAAAATTAGAGGAACATAGTCCTGTAGGAAAGATTATTGGCAGAATAGCTTATTACGATCTAGATGAACCTCAAAATACCAATAATACCTTCGAGATTATATTTTTTAATAATGAGTATTATAAAAATCATTCAATTCTTAATTACAATGATAATTTTAAAATTGATAAAATATTGGACAATGAAGTTGAAATAGCCATAACCAATGATTTAGACTTTGAGATGGATCCACATTTTTACAAATTTTTTATCAGAGCAAAACCGCGAAAAGATTCTCTGACTTCCCCATTGGTCAATGATAAAATTATAATAATGCCTCAGAATCCTCACAGTGATGTAGAAGTGATTGTTCAATTATTAGATATCAACGATCATTCTCCGTTTGCGAAAGATATCATTGTCTATATGACTTTACCTGCTTTCTATACCCACCAAATGGTCATAGATGAATCATTATCAGATAAAAACTCCGATTCAATAAAATTTCAATTTATAGCTTATGATTTGGACCAAGACGATAAACTATATTACACAATTGAAATGGGTAACGAAGATAATTTTATAGACTTGGAAAGCAATACTGGGAAATTTTCTTTTAATAAAAAAATTTATAAATGGGATTCGCTGTCATTACAACTACTAATTAGCGTGTCAGGTTATAATTCCTACATTTTATTTATATAATATATAACTTATAATCAGGGATCCAAACCGAAATGAATATTGGTTCGATTCAGGTTCAGGTTCGGATAAATATAACAGTTCAAGGTTCAGGTTCGGTTCGTAAAAAATAAAGATATTCGGTTATAACCTTTAAAAACTGGTTTGAACACGTTTGTATTCAACCCTACATTCGGATTATGCATAGGGAATAATATATTTTTTTTATTTCATCATTAAAAAAAACACATACATAAAATCTTCATTTTTATTAATTGCAATTGCACATTATAAAATAATATTTAATTTATATACATAACAAAAAAATATCAATGATTAATTTTAATATGGAAAATATTTAACTTTATTTACTTAAAATTAATATATTTTCAAGATCCATCTCACTCAAATTATATTTATAAGTAGATTGTATAAATTTAATTGTTGAAAAACATTTTCCACACTAACTTGGGTAGCCGGCACTGCCAGTAAGATATGACACAATTTACATGATTCTGGGTATCAATTACTCTGATTTCTCCAATAGTCTAAAATACTAGGTTCTTTGGAAAAATTAACTAAAAATAGTCTCCGATTTTTGTAACAGATTTTATTTGTTACCATCTTCCTTTTTAAGATAACTTTCTACTAAATCCTCTTCAGGTGAAGATATATTAACCGGCGTTGATTCACCTTCACTAGAATCCTCTACTCTTATAACAAAGTTTAATTCCATGTTATGCCATATTTTAATAATTACTCTCTAGCCTGTTTTTCTTATTCAATCAGAAGCATTTGATATCTATATAATAAAAATTAAAAATATCATTAAAATAATTTTTTCATATTATTTTTTATGAATAGATAGAAAATTATATAAAGTAAAATAAAATTTTTAATTAAATTTATATAAAATATAATAATATTTTTAAAACATACCTTAAATCCAGATATATGTATGACACAAGGACATTGTTATTTAAAAGTTGTTTCTCTCTAAAATTTATAGCATCTATTATTGAACCAGCCAAGGGTGAAATAAAATTAGAAATTTATAATTTAGTTTTTAGCCATGTACTATAAAAATCCCTTAAAGTTAGCTCAAGTTGTAAGTTCTTGGTAGCTACTTTAATTGGTTTTAGGATATTTATCAATCCTATAATTGCTTCCCATTCCAAAGCTATAAAATAAAGTTTACTATGTGAATGGTCTGCCATTAGAAGTGACCAACTCAGTGCAAGCATCGATTATTATTTTTTTATTTAGATTTACTAATATTGTTTGTTCTATTAATGCTTCTTCTATCGTCTGTCGACTTGATGAGATCTAGCTTTTTATTTTATTAATTTTATCGAATTCTAGAGAGTGGTTTCTTTTATGTGACGCTCAAGATTTGCTCCATGGTGGCCTTTCATATTTATTTGACAATCAGTAATATTAATATTACATTTTGATGTGTCATTTATAATACAATATGTAAATAATTTATATATTGGATTATTGGATTATATTTATCTCTAGGCGTTAAATATTTAAAAAATGTTGTAAAATAGCAATATACTATAGTTTATAAAATATGATTGATAATAATCTTTAAAAAAATTAAAATATAATTAAAATTTTTGCAATATCATATAGCTCGAACCGGTTAAAAGGTATTTTAGCGGTTATGTTCAGGTTCTGCAAAAAAAATTTCTGCGGTATAGGTTTGGTTTAGGTTCGATAAAAAATACCGGTTTTTAACGGTTTAATGGTTCGGTTCAGGTTCGGTTTGGATTCCTGCTTATAATAATATAGGCCTGTAAAATATTCATTAGACCCGAAAGATCAATTTTTTAAAAACTGCCCGATTAAGATTAAATCGAGGTCCAAATCTTTCTGTCATCTATGAGTAAAATTGCTAAGCATATATAATATTATTTTAATCAGGTCGTTTTTAAAAATCAAACCATATCGGGCGTATAACAACACTAACTGAAATGATATTTATAAATTATGCCCAAATTAAACATGTTATTAAGTATATTTTTTAAAATTTTTGAAATGCAGTGAGAGTGATTTATTAATAACCTATAGATTCTTTCTTATTAATGTGAGGGGAAAGGGGGAGGGAGGGGTGGAAGCCATTTTAAAGACTATTTTGGAAAGATAAGATTTTGATTCATTTGATTTGATAGGTGATATATTCGAATGTGGCTCATTTGAAATTAGTGATCAGCATCGGGCCTAATTTTTCAAGCTCGGCCCGGCCCGAAATTTTTTTAAAAATGTTTTGCCGGCCCGGCCCGAACCCAAACTTTTTTTTAAAAAAATTTACCGGCCAAGGTCTGGCCCGAATTTATTTAAATATAGAAATTAAATTTTATAATTATTCAAAGTAAAAGACATATGTTATATGGCGTCTAGTTTCAATAAATAAAATCAAATATTTTTATTTTACATAAAAAATTCAATATAAAATTGAGAAATTTCGATATATTTTAAAAAAAATCCAAGGTCTGACCCGACCCGGGGCCGGGCATACTTTTTAATACTGCAACTTGAGTTATTACCAAATTGTAGTTAAATAAGTAGGGCATGTTGGATAATATATTTTTACATTTTTTGTATAAAAATAATCAAGATTCGGTCCACGTTACGCATAGCAAAGCCAACTTATATATTTACAAAATATCGGAGGATATGTTAGAAAATGCTGTCTCAATGCAAATATTTGACATAAATCTCCAGGAGTTTTTGGAGAGAGATTATTTTTTTAATATGAGGAACCTTCTAGCAAATAGCCTGTTAACACTTCCTGAAAACATAATATTTTTGAACCTAAAGACTAGCAACAATTCTTCAAAATCATATCTAATATTAACGTTATGTGTAAAAATATTTAAAATAGATCATTCTGCTACTCAATATATGTCACCAATTCATCTCAAGTTAGCATTAAATTTGAATAAGGATTTATTTCAACGAATTATTCAAACCACATTTACTTTCTTACCTTCTCTCTCTGACAACTGCATACTTCACTTAAAATCATCTCATAGATCCCACCTTGTATCTAGTGTTAATAAAGAAGTTCAGATGAGCTTGATGAATTTACTTTGGTCCCATGAATGCAAAATGGTAACAAAAAACTCCGGTAAATATAATTAATATATTTATAGACCTAGTAATTAACATTTTTGGAATTATTGGTGGGACAAAAAACTATTTTTACTGTTATTATTTTTATTATAATATATTTTAATTTAATATTATTAATATAATAAAAAAAGGGAGAGGGTGGCTTATAAGTTATTGAGATGTAAACCTTGTAAAGCACATTTCTATAAATAAAATGATTTTAGAAAATATTCTGTTCCTAGATGAGTGTCGAAAACATAATTAATATATTATCAATTAGGCCCGATCTTCAAAGATGATGAATCTGATTTTGATCTCAAAATTTGTGATTAAGTTTAGTGAAATTTTTTGTCAAAATAAGGTTCTGCTTGTCAAAATGATCAAACAGAATGTAGCCTTTATCATATTATCTTCTCTAGTTTTCCATCGAGTAACCACAATATTCAATTAAATAGGATGTGAATATTTAAAAACAACGAAGAAAAAATCAATGCTAATTTTTTAAAAAGGAGTAAATTTTATATAAACCAACTTGGTTATATGAAGTCTATTTTAGAAATTATTCCCCGTATTTTCTATAAACAGGAGGCATAGTCAGCAATTTTCTTTGAGGGAGGGCTTTAGATGACCATGCTACAATTATTAAGGGTTATTTGGGTAATTTTTACAGATCTTTGGCGTTAGAAATGATTTTAAAATAATTTAAGTTTTGCACATCTTATCTTTTATTTTAAATTGCTTTTTCTGAAAAATTTTAATTATAATCATTATTTTATTGATTTATACTGGACTGACATCTATTTTTTGAGAAAGGACTTTAGAAATGGAGTATATGGGAATAATTTTATGACAATATTTGCGAATGCTTGCAAATTTTCCTATGAATGAGAGTTTAGAAAAAAGAAAGGCACTATGATGAGGTTTTAATTTCTCTAACCGTGAATGATAATCGTCCTAGCCGATAATACGAATAAAAATACACTAACAGAAAAAGATACAAAAGATATTTTTGTATTAGAGAGATTAACGCCTACCTTAATACATATATATGGATCACAATAAAAGCCCTATATTGATGGAAAATTAATAAATACTAAAGTAATACCAAGTTCCGCACCTCGTAAGCTTTATCCTAAGAATAAAATGGGAAACATTTTAAGGTATCTGAATAAAGAATTTTAGTACAAAATTTAATTGGTAATATTGTGTGACATTGAATATGATTGTGAATGAATTAAGAGGTCGAATAAGAGCATAAGGCTTGTAATTGAATTGACCGTGAGATGGTAAAAAGAATGTTCAACCTAACGTGAATGAATACATTTTATATAGAATCATTCAAAAAAAAACATGAAAAGAATATATATGTGTTGGCCAAAACAAGGAGCTAGACTAAGAAATTTATTTGGGTGGGAGGGGGGGGGGGGGTAGAAGAATATGGAAATATCAAATGATATATAAATATATCTCACAAAAAATTAAATTTTTTCATCTTACCCATTATGACAAGAATAATAGTTTATTAAATGAAGGTGAAAAACAGATTAAAACTTTGTTAGTTTCTAAGAAAGCAAGGTAAAAAAAATAGTACTACATAATAGAAAATGGAAACGTATATATAAAAATATTAACCTGTTATTTAGATATGATTTGGTTTAAGAAGTTGGAAAAGCAAAGATTTGATTCACAAACTAGATAATAACTACTACCAATAAATTTTTTTACTAATTCGTATAAGCTGCTCAATCTCGAATTGAAATTTAAATTAATTACAAATCATTGTAATTCAACTTTTTGTATAAACTAATTTACGTATATAATATAAAATTCGTTCTAAAAGATGGCATTAATAGTGATATTCAATTATTCCATTCTTGCAGCTCATCAATATGCAACAACAATGGGGAATGCTTCAAGAACAATATTAATTATATGTGTATTTGCTCTTCATTGCACACCGGTATTTATGACTAAATATATAAAAATAATCCTATATTGTATATTTTAGGCCATCGCTGTCAACTTCATAATTATTTTAATTACATAGATTATGATAACACAAATACGAGATCTTTTGATGGAAATGAAATCTTAATTTTTGAACCAATTAAAACTTTACATCGTTTTGATTTACAATTAAAGTATGTGATTTATTTATTTTTAATTAAATTTTGCTTATATTCGTTCATTCAGATTTAAAACTATGAATCCAAGTGGGGTATTATTGTACATTGAGAACTTAAACGATGGTTCCAATTTCTTTAGAATATTTATCAAAGACTATTATGTAATAATCAAATATGAAGGTCAAACATTTAGGAGTGTTAAAAAAATTAATGTTAAATTGAAACACTCGATGTGGTATACTTTGAGAATAAATTATGAAGATGGGGTTAATATTATAAAATTTATATTTATACTTGATTTAAAAAGTGTTTCAGAATATGGGAGTTGGGTTGAATGAATGCGACCCTCGACTGCTATTTCATAAAATACAATTATTTTTGAAACTCATGAAAAATTGCGTGTGCTTTATGAAAATCAACAAGTTTGACATGAAGTATATATTTGCAATTTGCCTTTATAAAGGATTGTTTTTTCTTCTCCAATTTAATTATATATTATATATACCATTTTACCTCGCAAAGTAACAATTCAAATTTGTAAAGTTACTTTGCGTTATGTAAATTCAAACTTTACAAATAACATTTTAAGGAATCCCGGGAAAAAAACCCCCGGAAAAAAACTCCCGGAAAATAAACCCCTGGATTTTTTTTTCTTCATATTTATAGAATTTACTTAAGAGCTAGGCATATTTTTATTTGGATTATAATGGATATACTCATATTTATAATGTATAGATAAATTAGTATTTTAGAAAAAAATATTATAAAAATATAATATATTAATCAGCTAAATTTCTTTAGGCCCTAATTCTTTATTTAAAGATTACTCATATACCTTTCCATAAAAAATGCTTAAAAGATAAAATGCTGAAGTTCAAATTGGTACTGGGAAAAATACCCCAGTTTCTTATTTTCGTAGCTATACTAATAAATACAATATCCGTCCTTAATTACGATATTAAGTAGACTAAATTTGACCAAATTTTGTAATAAAATATATTTATTTTATTGATAAATCATGATTAAAAATTAATAATTTAGAATAATAATTATATTGATTGACATCGAATAATGAAGGAAATCGCTCTTATAAAATCTGGAAGGCTTCGCACCCCATCACGGTATTCCTCACCCGAATCTGGGTATTATAACTGCAATTTTTTTTCGGTGTCCAACTATCTACACGCCATCGTTCAAGTTTAGTTACATCGATAGCCATTTCGCATTCCATTTTTTTAAATAAATACCCAGATTGATGGGTGTTTATTCCCACCAGATTATAAAAACGATGATTCCAACCTTAGCATTGATTATTTGTGCGTTCTTCGTCGGATAGAGTGCTCTGATTCACGTTCCAAGTTTCTGGAGGAAATCGAGGCTCAATTCGATGTGTTTGGAATTGAGAATTGCTTCTTGTGACAAATTCTATAAATATGAAAAAATAATCCTGGGATTTTTTTCCTGGGGGTTTATTTTCCGGGGGTTTTTTCCGGGATTTTTTTTCTGGGGGTATTTTTCCCGGGGTTTTTTCCGGGGTTTGTTTTCCTATTACCTATTTAAATAATGTAAAATAAAATGGGCACTTAATTTGTGAAATGATGTTTTTTACAAGTTTAAAATGAGACAAATGAAATATATTTCCTTATATAGGCTTAAATTCTTTTATATTAAATTGAATAATAACTTTATTAATATATAAATAGCGAAACATTGCCTTTCGAAATGTCTAGTTTGATATATATAGGTAGCAACCCTATAAACTTAATTACAGAAACTACATCACACTTTAAAGGATGCGTTAGCTCACTAATTATCAATAACGAAGAAATAGGTTTGAAATTATATTTACTGTCCATCATTGTTTTATATTTTTCTAAAAAAAGATTTTAAGGAAGCCCTAATTGATGACAACACTAAGAATACTTGTGAATTTAATAATGTGGTTGAAAGGCACTCGTATGATAATGTCCTAAATCCTAGGAAAGAAAGTTAGCTTTAATATTTATCAATTTATTTAATAAACCTATCTAGCAAAATGTTATATAAAACACTAGTGCCCATTTTTGTATTCTTATTTAGGGTTAATTAAATTAAGTTTCCAATAAAGACTTTCTTAAATTCAACGACTAAATAGTCACTTAATCGAGATAGTCTTCACCCTTTTGTAAGTTTAACAGATTGAAAAAAAAGAACAAAGTTTATACCTTAGCCTAAAGAGAAATATTCTTTTAATTTTTAGGAGGAGACTAACAAATACATTTATAGTATATCTATATATTATATAGATACGGCATACATTAACAATTTAATTGGTAAAATTTTCTTGATATTCGCTTTATTTTTATATTAATGAAATTCATTTAGAAATTGAAAAACAATGTAGGCTAGGCTAAGATGGTAAAGCCCTAAAAGCTCCGTTTTTTTGAAAAAAATCTAGATCAAATTTTCATTTATTTTTAGGCCCAAGCCCAATTTTTTAAATCAATTTTTAGGCCTAAACCAGGTCGAGTTTTAAATTTGTAATTAAAAAATAAAAATCAAACACATTATAAAGTTAAATTTAAAAAAACTATCCAATTGCTTGTTTTGTCATAATCCCAGAGAAATTTTTATTTTTGTTTTACTCTAGTAAAAGGTGAGAACTAATTAGTATTTTTTCTTTAAAAAATCATAAGTTCGACCCGTTGTTTTAATTATTGGCCCTCCATTATAAGCTTGTCATCTGATAAGGCAGATTTTGGGCTACTTAAACTAGGGTTCTAATAATGGCTTGAATATTCGTGGATTATAATATTTGAATGTCAGTACATATTTCGTATTGGGATATGAAATTCATGGGGATTATTCAGAATCTCTCAATTTTATATCTTTTATTAAAAAAGTAATTTTGATTTGACCAGAAATGTACTTTAGTATATATATATATAGATATATATAGATATAACTCCAACCCCAATAACCAAGGTAAACAAGGAGGAGAGTGCATCAAAATGACATAGGGTTATAATTTATGAGGGTGTATAAATCTTCACTGTAGTAATTTGAAGAATATATTACATCACCCCATATATATGTATATATAAGTAATTATCCTGTAAATATTAAACAATTCCTACCATTTTTGTGTATTCTTCCATTAGTATGAAAAAATCTATATCAAAATAAAGATAAATTATTCAAAGGTTAACGGCAAAATTGTCTGATATTCACAAATACATTCTGCTCAAATCAGATGTTAATTTAAATCCCCTCAGTAATTGATTTAAAGGTGAGAGATTTCTATCACCATGGATTCCATATCCCAATATGACTCCCCATATATTATAAACAAATATCGTTGATATAAATATTAAAATTTTTTTCTAATATTCATATATTACACATATCTTTTACTATAAGAAATTTAAAAAAACACAATAAAATCTATCGTTAAAACGTTTAAAATCGAGATAGGAGGTTCCCGGTTCGAACCCATAAAGTTTTTCTCATTTTAAAGAAAATAAATGATCAATTCAAGCCCGATTTTATTTAAATAAAACTTGATTATAATATTTATATATTTTTGAACAACAATATAAACTTTTACTCAAATTATATTGATTTTAGAAATCCTGATGAATGCTTCCTATAAAATTCCCTTTGATGGTTCACTTTTCTACAATGTTCCTCAAGAATGTTCAATAAATAAAAGTTTGAAAGAACTTCAATTAGAAATCGATCTTTATTTTATGCCAAATGTGACTACATTGATATCTCTTTCTTCTAATTCAAAAATTGATATAAGAATGCATGCTAATCACTTGTTTATTCAATGTAATCTCACACAATTCAGAGTTAAGTGCCTTATTATAGAAGGATGGCTAAAAATGATAATAAATATACATAAACAAGGACTGGATATAAATTTAATTGGGATATGCAGATGGGTATAATTTTATAAATAATATAATATCGAAAGTTTTTCACATATCTTTATTGGTATAATTGGATCATTTTTTTTATACCCTATTTATTTTTATTGTTAAATTTTAACTATACTGTTTTATATATATGTTGGAAAAGCATGGTGGGCAGGAATTATAAATATGTCTTTTTATTAAATGAATTATATTACATTTTTTATCAACTAAATTTGAAGTATATATACGTTAGCGTCGATGTGTTATTTTTTTCAACTTTAAATCGTTTTTTGAGCTCGTTTTTTAAATTTAAAATTTTGATTTTACCGGAAATGTATTCCAGCATGTTTATAATACCTATTTTATGAATTGTAGATAATTTTACCCATAACTTTCGAGTCATTTATAATTTATATGAAAAAGAAGTGGAAAATCTAATATAAATTATATTAAGTTTAAAGTTCATGACAAAATTATCTGAAATTTATAGGGTAGGCATTCCAAACATGATGGAATACATTTCCGGTAAAATCCCATTTTTAAATTCAAATATTGAATTTAAATTTCTAAACATGTCTGATTTTTAAATAAAATCCCCTGAACCAACAAGCCCCTTCCGACTAGCCCTAGTCTCACCTAACTAAAAATCATAAGTTTTATTAGTAATTAAATCCTGATAATAAAATATTAAAATTATAACATAGATAAGTCTAAAATAAAAATGGACAACCATTTTGAGCACGTAAACATTTAATCAAATATTATTTTATAAAGATTTACAAGGCTAGGTTTAAAATCTATTGATAATTGGTGTTGTTATTATGACATGTGCGTCTCCCCATGTATAAATTTAATCTTGAATACAAGGCGAATATAAAAGAGCACTTTTTTTATAATGAATAAATAATAAGCGGTAGCGACACCATTGCTTTTCTTCAAATTATATAGAGATTTATTAGTTATATAAGTAAAAGTTGATTGTTTTAAATTAAAATTTTCAATTAGAAAATGATAAATGTTCCAGATTGTTTATGAAATATAAAATATTTATTTTGTTTCTACAAATAAAGAATATTGATTTGTCAATAGATATGGCTTTCAGAGAAGAAAACTACCTGACCATTAGATCAATTATTACGGACATAATTTCAATAGAAACAAAGACGGGCTGTGTTGTAGTAATTAAAACTATATATTGTAATTTGTTACAAAAAGTATTTTAATTTTCAATGATATGATATAAATTTATAACAGGCGCTTATAAAAACAATTTTATAAATAATTTCTTGTTTATTTGCAAATAGGCTAAAAAACTAATATTTTTATTCATAGACAATCTAATATGACTATCGAAGTTGGCTTAGATATGAAATGACAAAACAATATGTATATCAGTGGCGTTGCTAGAGGGGGGGTGCAGGGGCTGGAGCCCCCTGGAAAATTTGAATAGCCTCTGAAGCAAAAAAATTTTTTTAATGAAATCTTAACCCCTTGAACTAAATATAAATTTTTTTGATTGCCCCCAGAAAGATTTCTTTAATAATTCTATTAAGTAAAATATAGATTTAATATTATTTACTGGAAAATTTGAATAGCCCCTGAAGCAAAAAATTTTTTTTAATGAAATCTTAACCCCTTGAACTAAATATAAATTTTTTTGATTGCCCCCAGAAAGATTTCTTTAATAATTCTATTAAGTAAAATATAGATTTAATATTATTTAAAAATTAATAAGACTATCTAAATATTTATTAAATGAATACTATTTTAAATGTTAGATTAAATGAATACTATTTTAAATATTAGATTAAATTAATACATATAAATTATATTTTCACTATGTCAGCTAGCTATCAAATTTTGTGTTAAAAATAGAATATCAATATCACTCACTAAATATTAATTTAGCATTAACAGTTGAAGCTTAATTGACTATTATTATTTAAATTATTTTATAACCCTAATTAAATAAATATAATCATTTATTAATTGAAAACTAAAAAATTTAATTAACTAGCAGAGTTCAAAATGACTGATCAATAGTATATTTAATAAATTTTATTATCATACCTATTCCTAAAAATATTTTCAAGATCCAAATAAGTATAATAAAAAAAAGTAAGTAAGTAGACATATAGTTTATTCCTCTATTATGTTGTTTATAAAATATTAGATAAAATGCCATTTTTATAGACGTATTTGACAGTTATAATATATTACTGCTAATATTATAATAAATTTTACTAATAACAATTTGCTTTTAAGTATTTAACGCCATCTATTTAGTTAAAATTAATTTTAAAAATTAAACATTTTATTATTCATCCTACAATAGATGTAATAAATTTGATATCTTTTCCTTTTTACGTTAGGAAAGCTATTGTTTTCTTTTTCAAAAAACAGTTTTGAGTTAAATTTTTAATGCAAGTATATTTCTGATATTATTACAAACTACTATTATTTTAAGATATAATATACCAACTGGAGGTGGTGCGACAATATATAAAATCTTAATTGTTTCATCATATCACTCTGGTCCTTATTTTATAGTTCCAAAATATTTCATTTCTAATATGGCATCCTTGCTGTGTAAATAACTCAAGGCTTCAATATATTTGCACAATTATTTCTTCCAAAGACCGAATAAGCGGGCAAAGGCCCGCAAATTCGGTGGTATAGGGGACTAAGCTCTCCATAAAAATTTTTTAGTTGAGCCCCCTGAGATTGTAAAGGCTAGCGACGCCCCTGATGTATATTAGTATAGTTAAAAGTTACTTTTGTTAGATGACTAATTACCGTTACTAGTTACATTCTTTAAAAGCTAACTAGTTAGTTAAATTTCAAAAGTAACTAATTTCATGTTAGTTATACCTTGTAAATAATTTATATTTTTTTATTATACAAAATTTTTTAAAATTTTAATCAAATGAATTTAAATGAAAATATGATTTAATTAAAGAAATAATCGCAATGACACAATATAATATTTATTTTTTATAAAAATTATTTGACTTTAACAGTTGAGATATTTTCAAAATTATGAAAGTGAGTTTTTCCCTAAATTATACCTGTTCAAAAAACATACATATCGAATAGTACATTCTTCATATTTGAATAAACGAATAGAATTCTACTAATTGTATTTATATTCGATTCAAATTATTCGTTTTTTTTTAAATTATAAAACAATTCATATAAAAACTAGCTATATTAACAGCACTGATATATATATATAAATATATCGTGTGGAAAATATTTAAGAATACATTTATGCAATATTTACAAATTTATATAATAAACTTAAATATAAATTAGAGAAGCATTTCTCTGTATAAAATTTTATAAACATTCTTTGTTAGGGAGGATTTTAACTTTCCTCATCTTCCCCTGTATATGGACCTGATTAGTTAATATTTATTTTTTTGAAAGACGCCAAAATGTAAATGCGATTTAGATTCTTACCAAATGGATATTGGAGCTTTATCTACTTCGTCAGAATTATGTTCAACCGATTCTTTAAATAAGAATATTTATACTGAGAAACCTAGTTCCTCACTCATATTCATAAATTGTCCAATTGGTAAATTAAAAAATTATTTATAATTATGATTAAAATTTGAAATATAACAAATTTGGGGGTGGGGGTAGGGTGGATCTGGCTATTTTCCTAGTTAAGAATTTGCATTTTTTTACTAAATTTTTTAATGGTTAAATAGGAAGCTCTGATTTATCGTTATTTGTAATGAATAACTTTTTTTAATTATATCATAATATTATATAGGTAGTAGCATTTATTCATGTTTCATATATTTAAAACTTAACTTATTTGATTTATTTCCTGTTAACCTAATTACTCTTCATTCATTTATATAATAATTAATATAGGTTATTATAATGATAATTGCGAAATTAATGTGTGCTCCTTAAGCCCGTGTATAGAAGCGAATACTTTTAAATGCTCGGTGAAAAATGATAAACCATTAGGATTTGAATGTCAATGCTTATCTGATAAATCTAACTACCACTATTTTGGAGAATTATGTCAATTTAAGGCATTTATTGGCCAACGAATTGATTGTAAAAATGGATGGTGGGAAGGAAATGAATGTCAACCCTGTCCTAAATGTAATGAGTTTAAAGGATTCAAAAAAGATTGCGACCCTAAGACTGGAGCTTGTGTATGCAAGGTTACTATAAGTTTTATTTTTGTTTGTTTTGTAGCGTCATTAGGAAAAGAGGTGCCTAGGAGTTCAAACCTTCGGAAAACTTTGAATAACCCCGCTGAATTTTATTAGGCAAATTTTAGAATTACCTTCTTTTTTTTAAATTTTATATTTCGTTAACGCATTAGTTCACTTACTAAATTTAAGAGTCTGTAATTTCACAAAAATTTTTTAAATCTATTTAGCGGAAATTTTGATAAAAGAAACTTAATAAGACCAATTTTTAAGAAGGATCCGAACCCGCCCTTGTCCAAAAGTATCCTAGATTTGATGAGTTGCCCACAAATTGGTCCCTGTTTGTGTTTATAAAATGTGAACTAAACAATTTTGAATTTCTGAATCCTAATTCTGGTTCACAGGTAAAGTGTTATTTAATACATTTCAAGGTCTTTTTCTAAATTAAAATTGGCAAAAATGCACAGGCTTAAAAACATATACTGCATTATTTTACAACTTTAATCCCTATTTTTTAGAGTGGTTATTATCATTCCAACAGTGAGCATACTTGTTTAAATTGCCATTGTAATCCATACGGAGTCTCAAATTTAAATATATGTGATAAAAATACTGGAGAATGTTTTTGCATACCAGGTGTATATGGGTTAGGATGTAATAAGTGTTCTCATGCTCTTAGTCAATTAACTGAACATGGTTGCATTTACGTTGAAGGCGGTTGCCCCGAACAAATGGAAGCGGATAATTTTATCTGGCCATTAATACCTTACGGAAACTCAATTACAATGAGGTGTCCTGGGAAATTTTCAATAGGTTAAACTTAACAATAATAATCGAATTTAATAAAGAATTTTTTATAATTGAACAGGAAATGTTTACAGAAGATGTTTCAAGATAGGATGGGGCAAGACAGATTTTAGCAATTGTTCAAATTATAAATTGGAAAAAATAGTTGCAAATTTTATAAGCAAAAGCGAAATATATTTTACAAATGACTTTAAGGGAGAAGATATACAATTGTCATTACTAATGGAATCATTTGATTCGATGAATAAATATTTTCAAAAACCTCTCCCTTATTACGAATATTTTATGAAAGATTTTAAAAACTTGCATCGTTTTATCAATTTTATAACTTTGAACGGTATGAAGTTTAGCATTTTGACTAAACATAGCTCGCACTTTGATCATAAAACATTATTGGTTAAATATCTTAGTTTTTCTACCCTTTTATTAAACATGGAATCAATTACTTATTACCATATACCTTTTAATTATGACAAAATGACTTTCCTAATAGATATTATGAACTTTACAAAGAATATTCTAGAAGATGGCCTGTATCTGTTTGAACCCTTTATGTTCTCACATCTCAAATTAGGTAAATTTATTGATAATTGAATAATAATCAGAGTTAGACAGGTCCTTAAAAATAGTATCTAGATACAGATTCTCAAAAGGTCAAGATAAACTCTTCAGTCCTTGATTCACAAAATATCGATATCATCGAAATCCCAGATGTAAACAAATTGTGTGTGACACAACAATAAGAATGGAAGGGGGCGGGAAGACTAGAAAAAATTTTCCTTTCTGAATGCCTATTCTCGTAAATATCATTTTAATTTACAGTGTTGTGATGATTTAATGAAACATATTGACGAATAAATTAAAACCCATCCATATAAAATTATAATCTTTGCAAAAATAATTAAAATATAGACAAATTTCTTTTATTATTCCTTTTGTTATTTTAATTATTTTAGCAAAGTTTATAATTTTATATGGATGGGTTTTAATTTAATCGTCAATATGTTTCATTAAATCATCACAACACTGTAAAATGATCATCCGTATACACCCCCTTTCCTAAAAATGTATAAACGATAATTTGAAAGAAAAATAAACAAAGGTTAATTATTTTTTTAAATAATTAGTGTAGGGATTTTAAGGAACGAGTTAGACAAAAATTAAATATATTTATTTAATTTAACAATAATCTTTAATCACAATTTCTCAGTATATATAAATTTTCGGTTAAAGTTAATTGTATATAAAAAACATTTGTAATATTATTTCAACAAGAAAATAAATTAACTTTTACAATTATCGATACTTTAAATATTTGATTTATATCCGCAAAACAATATATAAACAGATAATATAATATTATAAATAAAAGACCATTAAAGATTAAACTATAAAGTAGAATATTTATCAAAGACCTACAAAGGTATCATTTGCTCGGCGCGATTTTTTTTTTTAAAAATTTTAACGGCCCGGCCCGGGTTTAATAATTTATAGCCTGCCTGGATTTTTTTTTAAAAAAATCCGGCCCGGAATTTTTTTAAATTATATTCGATCTAATTTATATAAAAATTAACCTTTTCAGTATTTTAACCCTATTTTTCAGCGAGTATCATTTAATAAGCATATTACACATTCAATCTTTTTTATTCTAAATAGATATTTAGTATATTACAAATTGATACTATAAAAAATTTGTATAAATAATATTTTGAGAATATATTATATTGTATTTGTGATAATTTTAATTTGTATTTAAAAAATGCATGGTTAATATTTTATGAATATACTATATTATATTGTATTTATATAAAAAATAAAACTGATATGGAAGTAAATAATATTTTGAGAATATTAAAATTATAAATCACTATTTAAAAAAATGACATTATAATCTAATTGCACAAAATATAATTATTTTTTAATATAAATTTAAGAAAATAATTGTATTATATATAATATAAAAAGGATAATGAAAAATGTTGGATTAAAAAAACTTTCAGGACTCAAGGTAAAATATAACAAATGCAATAAATATTATACCAGAATAAATGACGAAACCCTATACTCAAGAAAGATATAAAAAATTTACAAATTATCATTAAGAAAAAGAAGCATTTTTACCTTTTCAGGCTGAAGATAACTTCTTCTTTCTTCAAGAATTCTCTCAGTAGTGGGAAAATTCCGCTCACAGTTGAAGCAGGAATTGTCAATACCCGTTTTGCCAAAATCCACTCTAACACCACCTTAAATGTTTCATTATTTTTACATTTAGGTAATTATTAAATTCATCATCGGGTATTGAGATATTATCAAAATTACGACTCATTCGTAAAGCGATTGAGTTTGCATAACAACAGTGGTAATTCGACTGGTCGATGGTAATTCATTAACTTCCTGAGCCTCTTGTAATTTAATATGGACTATTATATAGTTTTCCTTCATCTTGCGATCTGTCCCTGACAACATACGTAATTGTCTGAATTTGGGACAGAGAAAAAGTGTGATAAAATGATACATATGTAAACAAATTTTTCAATTAAAAAATGCTTTACATTAAGTAGAATCAATTTCATCTCTCTTTTATCGCTTTGATGGGTATTACAAACTTCAAGATGTTCATAATACCAAATTACCACTTTAAAAAGAGTGCAAGAGTCAGACTATACCTCAACAATAGTTCTGTAAAATTTCCAAGAATATTGACAAGATCCTCAAGAATCGGAAAGTCTATAATTATAATACTTTTCCGATACCCATGTTCTTGAAGCACTTCTATAATTTCTTCATTTTATGAATAAACACTATTGAGCATATCGTATTTACCAACGGCCTTCTACATCTTGATAAATAGCTTTTAAATGCTGGCATTTATTTCATGCTATGGGTGTGAGATAGTGTTAACCTTCACCCAATATTATATTAATCATAAATATATAATCATTATAATCATATCTAATTGACGAATATAATATTTCATAATGTATCAATAGTGTAATAATATATTCCTACATCACTACATTTCCCCTTTATTAATTGCAAGATTTCTAAAATATTTTCATTTAATATATTTAGTAATTTCTTTCGGACAAATATTCAACTTCTTCAACAGCTGCTTAGTTTTCTTACAGATTTATATATGCTCTTTACATTTTATTGATGATGATCATTTTGTTAGGATAATTGTAAATGTAATATATATTGGCAATTAGTAATTTTCTCAAATGCTTCAGCAAAATTATTACATATTTATATATTGAAATCCAATCAAATTAATAATGAGAAAAATTCTTTTATTTTTATATTTCAAAATGAAATTCTAATATTTTAATATGAAAATATTACATCAATATAAAATTATAATTAAATAGATGCCTTGATGACAAATATATTTTAAAAAAATTATAACCTAATTAGATTGATAAACATGCTTTAAATGCAAACTAATTAATTAAATAAATATATTTATTTGCCAATAATATTTTAACTTGCCAACCCTGCCTAGAGTCATCCACGACTTAAAGTTCCTTGCCCTTCTATAATTTTTTTAGATCAGGCAGGCCCGGCCCGGATACATCTTTAAAAAAAATTCAGACCCGGTCCGGATATATTTTTAAAAAAATTTTTAGGCCCGGCTCTGCCCGGGTATATTTAAACAAATTAAAATATGATATATATTGAATCATTTTAGTATATTTAATTATTAAATAAAAATAAAGTTAATATATAAACTTTTCATTATATTAACTTTTACATTTAACGATAATTAAAATATTTGATTTATAACCGAAAAACAATATACAAAACAAATAAAATAATATAAAAGACCATTAAAATATAAAGTAGAATATATATAATATTACTACAATTACTAATTTTCAAAATTTTTAGAAAATAGCATTTTATATGTTAAAAAAGTGAAAAATCAAAACTATTATTTTAAAAATGCGAATTAACCAGAGGCCGATAATAAAAGATCTTAAAGATCTTCAATAAAAGGTATGGAGGGGGGAGCCGACTTAGAAAATCGTGCCGATAAAATAGAACAACAGAAGTACATAGAGAAATCTCATAAATATGTCGATTGTTTCAAGCTCAAAGATAAATTTCAAATAAATTACATCAATTTCTGTGATTTTTTCCTCCAAAGAAACTATTTTCAAATGGTTTAAAAATTTTTTTAAAATAGCGAAAACACTTACAAACACATTTTGTTTCACGACTATAATAAAATTTTCAAATTATTTACAACATTAAATAATTAAAAACCATAATAGACATTTTAAAAAAAAACACTAAGAAACTATAACATTTACAATCAATAAATAGAAACCACCCAAATCAGAGTTGTGAATATATCTAGATATAAAAATGGGGTATCGGTATCTTGATACACTTTTATAAAAGTATCGATATCGGTTTCAGACATACTTTTATAAAAATTATCTCTATGTAGATACTATAGTAGAGATATTATTATATAGATACTACTGTAGTTGTATCTGTATCTATTTAGTTTAGATACATTTCAATATAATTTTATTTTTTATCTTTTTATATTAAAAATAATAATATTTGAATTAAATTCATTTAATAATATGTCCGAGTTTATTTTATTACTAAAACAAACCAGACAAATTTTATTATATGCAATGGATGTAAACAGCATGGTAAGTTTTGGTTTATTTTATTTAGATTAATTTAAAAAATATATAATAATTTTTAGATTAATAATTCTAGATAATGTCTGAAAAGAAAACAAATAATATAATATTAGATATTTTGGGTACCCCTTAGATTATATAAATATTTGAAGTTATGACACATCAAATTTTCAATAATTTTTTAAAAATAAATGTCGGAATTTTAATATATAATGATTATACCAATATAATGTTGTTATTCATTAAATATAACAATCACTATGCTGTCAAGTGCTCCGGTAGAAAGAATTTAATGTAGCTAAAAAAAGTGGGTGTATAGATACGTTTTTAGGCTATATATCTATATCTAGATCCATTTTAGATGATGTATCTTTATTTAGATCTTTTTGAAGAATATCTATTATCAACTGCTATTATTCTACTTAATATACTGTGTCCAAGAGGCACTAATAAATGTGAAATATCAATAAAAATAATGATTTCGGTTATATACAATTATTTATATAAATAAGCATCAAAATTCATAATATTGAATCTAATTTGCATACAATAAATTTGGTATGTTTAAATATAAAATAATAATATATTAAATTTCAAATATAGTTAAAGAAAAGAAAGAAAAACGTCAATGAGGAATATATTTTTTTGAAAAAAAGTAAAAAAGGTATCTATATTTTGTTAAGAAAATGAAAAAGATTCTTTTGTAAATAAAATATCTTAAATATACTATATATAAGTATAACAAAATTTCTAAAAGTATAAAGTACAAAATATAAGGGGATCTTGTATCTAAGATACAAGTACTCGGACTCGCAGTACTGTCCAACTCTGATAGTAAGTTTTTAAATTTGTCTAATAATTTATAGTGACTTTTAAATTAATAACTAAATAAATAAAATTAGCATACCTGCTCGATAAAACATTAATTGAAGATGGAAAAGTTTTACAACTTCCTAAATTTAACAATATTTTGAAACCAGCTCAATCCCATTATATGAATTCAGTGACTATTAGTTTATTATTTTCTAGGCAAAGTTTTAATTACAATACAAATGCTAAAGACAAAGTTGATCAGATCGAAATGACATATTCAATGTTTTTAATAGATAACCCAAATCACTCTCATACCAGGTTGCATACCCTTTAGAAACATGTTTCTTATAATTATCTTATAATTCATTATAAATCTTGCAATAAATAATTATTCATTTATAAACAGCCATATTAAATATAATATAAATATTCTTTATTTATAATTAGCTATAATCAATTGACCCCGTTAATATCTATCATAGCTGTACCAAATAAACTTTTAGAAAATCCGAAGTCTCATAAAATTGGGCCATTTTCTAAAGGTAATTTTAACATTACTTTTGACTTAAATGAATCCGAGAAATATCCCGACAATTATGTCTATGAATGTTTGTACTTGACTGAATACCGTTCTTTAGGCCAGAATTCTTACTTATTTTCCGATCCACTTGTAAAGGACCTTGCAAAAAACTTTACATCTTGTTATGATTCAAAAGTAATCCTGGGTATCATTGAATGTTCTTGTCCATATTTAGGAATCATAGCAGTTTTTGCATATCAATCCGAATCTCAAAATTATAGCCCTAGAATTACTTATGTTTCCAATATGATTGTGGGGATTTCAATCAGTATTCTAACATGGTATATTCTATCCGAACTCTATCTAATGTTTACGAAGATGAATTTTAATTTTGTTCATTTCAACATCATGTTCTTTACAGTTTTGTCCCAAATCTTCTATTTGACTTGTATGGATAAGGTTTACCATATGGTTAGTAATAAATATCATATAATATATCGTATAAAAATATTAATAAATTTTTACAAAAATGATTATAAATTCAAGAACATAGCTTGGGCAATATTTACTGTGTTCATCTACATACTACTTTCTATTGCTTCATGGTTGATACTCGATCTTTACATTTGTCATAAAAAATTATACAACATCAAATTGTGCTTAGTTCAAAATATTTGGCCAATGGCACTGGCTTACATAGCCCCATTAATGGGGATAGTGTTTAATCAATTTTCAAAAAATGAGGAACAACCTTCTATCAAGTAATAAATCATTATTTCGATTATTTCCATCCTTTTTAAAGTGTCTATAATATTTTGAAATATCATTAAGACTTATATATTATTCATTTGTCATTAAAGTCAAATTAATAAATATTAATTAAATTTATATTTAACTTAAAATTAATGAGGTATAAAGGAAAAATAAATAATTAATAAACGTGAATATATAGTGGGTAATTTTAACCCCTCTTAGAGTTCCTTTTCAACTAAATGGATATTTTATATGAATTAAATAAACCTGAATATAAAACCAATAAAGGTAATTATAGAAAGAAGGTTTTATATAAATAATAGGAATTTATATATTCTATAGTATATAAAAGGTTTTAAAAAAGTATTTTCAAATTTTGAATAAAGCAAGGAAATATAACTAAAATAAATAAAAGAATAAGATTATGCCCCCACCATAGTCATTCCTTAATTATTAAACTTTCCACAAATATTTCTAGATTTTTGAATCGTGCGTTATTCGTATTCTTTACATATAAATAATTCAGGTTAGGTAAAAGTGAAAATAAAAAAATTACATTTTGACATTGGATTGGTTTTATAATATACTTCATATATAATAATATTTATTTTTATTAATCATGATAAAAATAGTTATCTGAACTTCATATATAAAAAATTAGTCTGGTTATTTTAAATAATTGGAATTGTTAAACAGAATTTTTATAATTACTAATTTTAAATAATTGCTAAAAATCAAATTGGAATTAATTATAGATAAATAGTTACAAAGAGGGAAATGCAATTAAGTATATAATTATATTTGTAATCGATCGCGGTGGAATCTTGCTATTATTCATATCACTTAATCTAATTAATCAATAAATTATTTTTTAAACTATAAATATAAAAGGTATCTCAAAAGTTGGAATTTTTTGAATTTCAAAAGTGGGATTTCTTTAATGGTGGTACTCTCATCTGTTATTGTATATTCTATAGTGCTTCTGATTTACACGCGACATAGATTATCAGTAAAAAATATTTTGTATAAAAAAATAATGGAAATTTATTACCTACATATGGTAATAAACGTATCCAACGTGATCCTTCATCATATAAACTGGATTTTAGTTCTATTATCGATTTTAAATAGAAACTATACCCTACAACTTATATTTGAAGCATTTTTCCTTGTGATAAGTTTAGTTAATGTCCTAAACTATGTATTTCTAAACGATGATTTAACTCTGTTTTCGATAAAACTTTTTAACATTATTAAATCGGATGTATTTAGTCTTAAATTAATTCAAAGATTCCAATGTGTCCCAGAGAGATCTTCCACGAAGGAAATCGTAAATGTCTCATCATGGTGTCATGTGAAGACATTAAATAGCAGTAACACTTATATCAAAGCCAGTGACATAGATGACGAAAACCTAAAATAGATGCACATATTATAATTATAATCATAACTTATATATTATGATATTCTTATATTTTAATGTAAATATCCAACTACTAAATAAACACATTCCATATTATTATAGAATATGATCATAGTGGTGTGTTGTGTGTAAGGCCTGAACCGGGAATTTCTTCGGAGAAAATAATTTTATGAAAAACTTGTATATTTAGTTAGTAGTACAAAATTGTTATAAAAATAATAATATTATCTATTTTTGAATATTAATTAGGAATATTCAGAATTTAGTCAAATTAAGGTTAATAGATAGTTGTAATTATGTAGTATGCTAAATTATTTTATATAAACTCCCATATATAATTAATGATATTTAAATTAAATCTTGCCTGAAGCCAGGGAAGGGGTAAGAGGGTCGAATATCCGTCAAGTCTCCGTAAAATTTGCCTCGGAAAATTCTGTCAATGCCTATGAGACTAACCAATAAAGCTACGATAAGAGAGACGTTTAATTAATATGTTTTTTATGTTTACTTACATTTGATTTTCGACTTTAATAATTTACCAAAGAGATTTTTAGATTTTTAAATCTTAAATGTATTCCATCATGTGGGTAGAGGTCTGTAAATGGCAAAATTTCGGCCCGGTTGAAATTTAGCTTTTGCCCGGCCTTGCCAAATTTTTATCTGGCAGGCCCGCTTCCATTTTTTTCCAAGGTTGCCCGGCCTGGTACTTTCTATAGAAGATCTAACCGAAATATAGACAGTTGAGCACTAATACAAACAACTATTTATAATATCAGGGAGTGGATAAATAAAAAACACTACACTTTATGTATATTCGTTTATATCAATATCTTGATTCATCAATAATCTAGCCCATTAATTTTTTCTATCCCGTCCGGCCTTAATAAGAAAAATTTAGACGTTACCCAATCCATCTGGCCTTTCATTGAAGACCTCCAGTGAAGAGTGACTACCATATGGATTTAGACAGTTTCCGCCAGAAACTTTTATATATTTTTTAATTTATATTAAAAACCCGTATAAAATTATTATACATTAAGAGTAGTTCTAAAGTACATCGATAAATTATTTAAAATTTACAATATTGAAATTCTGAATCTCCATGCACTCCATATCCCAATACGAAATATATTAATCAAAAACATAATTGCTTATCAATTTTAAATATATTTCATTATTTTAGCACAAGAAACCTCAAAAAATAGCCATATTATTATAAATAAGCGATAATTCATATAAATAATAATTAAGCTATTGTAATATATTTGGTAGAAATCTGCAAAAGTTTGACCAGGCTAAATATATTTTTTTAAATAATTGGACCGGACCTGGTCAGGCTTAAATTCGAAAATAAAAATATTTTTAAATTTTTGCATATAATAAGGCGTCAATATTTTTTACGAAATCAATTTCGATTGGGTTTAGGTTAGTGTTAGATAAAAATAAAAATTCCAAATTCAGGTTGGGTTTTTAAAAAATAATAATATCAGTTGTTTCAAACCTCTAAAAACTGGTTTGAACTCTTTTGTATATATATTAGAATTATTTGTAGAGAAGCACATTTTTTTTTATTTCATCATTAAAAATACTAATTAAAACGTTATTTTATTTTTAATTGTACATTATAAATAATATTAAATTAATAAATCATAACAAATAAACATTATTTATTAACTACAATATAAACAAAAAAATAGTATTTAGCTGCAATTAAAATACTTTATAGAATCACCTCAGGCAAATTGCATCTATTTATAGAAGGTATAAATTTTATTGTTGAAAAGCATACGCTAGCTTGAGTAGCCGACACTGTATAACATTAGACAATTTATATAATTCGGGGAATCGATTACTCTGATTTTACCAATAGTTTAATATATATTTATTAACTAAAATATTTCTAATGTTCTTTGATCGTTCTAATAGATTTTGTTTATACCATTCTTTAACTTTCTAATAAATCAACTTCAGGTGAAGATCCTTTCATTGATGTTGATTTATTTTCACTAGAATCTTCCATTCTTATAACAATCTAATTCCATGTTCTTTTATAATATAAGCAAATAATTTACAAATTTGATTCAATTTATCCTTAGGCATTTATAAGCGTCTTTAAAATTTAAATATAAAAGAGGAAGTTAAAAATATTTAACAAATGTTGTAAAATAGCAATATAATAAATTTTATTAAAACTGTGACTGAAATTTATCAATCAAAAATTGATAATACTTTTTAAAACATTCCAGTATTTTATAAACATAAAATCATCAGATTCGAACCGGTTCACAAGCTTTTTTAGCGATTCTGTTTAGGTTCAAATAGTAAATCACTAATGGTCAAGTTAGATATAAATACCGGTTTAAAAGTTCGGGGTTTAGATACCTACAAAAACTCGGTATTGTTCAGTGTAAAAAACTATATTGAAAAAAAATTAATTTCTATAGTTAAATAAATTCGGGCTGGGCAAACAAATAATTTTTATTTCAGGTCGGGCTTTTCATGATAAATGAAAAAAAATATCAGGGATGTGGCCATCTGGACAAATATTTTTTAAGAAATTTCAGCCCGGACTTAAAAGGTTAAACCCGATGCAGCTCACCAATATTTGGTTTAAAGTCAATTAAAGCAAAAATATAATATAGAAAAACCGTAAACCAAAAATTATATTAACGAGCTAAATGCTCTTGTCCTCTTGTCCCACTCTTTATAGCTTAAGAAGAACACTTACGAGAACAAGAATTGAAAGGAATAGTTGTTGCTCTTAAAACGAATATATCCGAGGAAATATGCTGGCGAAGGGAGAAGGAAATTATAATACTTGTAAAATTATCTATCACAACCCAAGGAAAGGTAAAATTACAGTGCTAAACTTTACCAATAGGGTTCCAAGTCATTTTTCAAAAATGGTGAAATTTTTCAAAAAGAGGTGCCAGAACCCAAAGTATAGCTAACGAATACCTAATAAGAAGAAAAAACTGTTACAAAATAATTCATTATGATTAAAAAAATTAAAATATCAATTTCATTTTAAGGTATTAAAAAAATATATAAATCTATTTTAATACGAATTTAATACAGTATATAATGTAATTGAATAGTAAGTGTAGTTTTAAGACTTCTTTCGATTGGTGTTTACCTTAATTTAATCCTATTTAAATTAAATTTAAGGTTTTGCTATGAAATTAAAAAAAAAATACATAAACTGTTCGAAAAACCAATTCATTTAAAAATAAAATAATTCACATAAAATATAATTAATCCGACTAGAT